ATTAGACAAATAAATAAATTATATTAAATTAGTTTAGAAACTTTATATATTTTAATTGCAAATATTTTACCAATTGCTTCTTTAAAAACATTAGGGAACTTGCTATACTCTACCAATCAAGCCCAGTGACACTCCATTTATTTTCCATCACTCGAACACTGAAAAGTAAAAAGATATATGAAATCAGATCCATTAAATTATAAGATTTGATTTACATTTCTAATTAAAATTGTTTTTGATCATACGTATAGATAATTATACAAAAATTTCAAAACTCTAAAATTTCAAATACATACAAAAACAATCATATGTAAATTTTAAATTTGTGAATATTAAAATTTTATATTTTAATTACATATATTCACCCTGCGCAAGGCGCAGGTCTTATCCTAGTCCCCTATATATTAATTGAGGAACATTTGAAAAGATGTAACCTCAATTTTGTATTAATTAAAAGAGGCCCCAATGCATAGGTGTCATTCAATTAGGTAGTCAATTAGATTCAATTGAAAAATAAGTAAGTCCACATTGGATTTTTATAGGTTGCTAGATACATTAGTTAGTCAACTATATGATATAATGATATGATATGCTATTTTCTTTCCATAAATAAAACCTACGAAATTACCATAAATGACTAATATATATATGACACTTAATGATTGTTCCCTAAGATATAATTACTATTTTATTTTATTTCCATAAATAAAACCTACGGAATTACCATAAATGACTAATATATATATATATATGACACTTAATGATTCTAATAATAAATATTTATAAATATTTGATAACAGTTTATATATCCTCCATCATTCTTCTTTAATTTTATATTATTAAAATAAATTAAACAATCAAATTAGCTATAAAATTAAACTTTAGATTTTTTCGTATAGGTTATATTTTGAATTTTAAGAAACGAGAATAAATAACTAAACTATTAAAATTATTATGTTAAAAATTAATGATCAATAGTTTAACATTTTATTATAAAAAGATATACATGATTTTAAAACC